CATACGTTCAGGTCTCTCGAGTTCTGTTCCACGAGCAATTTCCTCGGTCCGCACTACGAGGCTTATCCTTGATACATTGAAATAGCTAATGCTGTTCTAATGATTGTATCACGGCTCGCATCATTGTCAACGTATACTGAGCACAAATGTCCTGACCGAAAAAGAGAAACCGACGTTTCACGTGGCAAACGTTGGAGCTCCCTGGAATGGCAAATTTTCCGTCGAGTTGACAACAATCGCGATAACAGGACCTGTCGATTTTTCCAACAATCCTCGTAGATCACTTTTGAGAATCCTACTATTCGTTACTCGCTCATCGTTTCTGATTTGTTAAAAAAAGCTTGCCGCGACACGAACATTCTTTCATTTCCATCTATTATAAATATAGAACTACAGATCGTTACATGTTCAATACTTATACTTCAGTGTAAAAACAAAGTTTGCATAAACGAAAATTACAATACCACATTGTTACATGAGATTGAAAGGCCACAAGCAAATGAGGAAATGTTTTCCTTTGTTATTCAGTGATAGAATTTATTTGGACATTCAAACTTTGACCAAGTTATATGATACATTCCTGCGTGGAGTAGCTGTATCAAAGTTTACATGTAACAAACATAATAATAATATATAATGGTTGATAAATAACTACCACAGCCATAAAAATAAATCGTTCCATGAACAGCAGATAAAAATGGCTTGCCCAACTGCCCGTTCATCACTGTACATTACGCGACCCTTCTCACGAAAACACAGTGTGCGTGTAGTATGCCCGCAGTGGCTGGAACCGACCAGAAGGTATCCATCTTCGCGTGTAATCCCGACGCAATAGAGATTGAGAAGAATCGTTGCGCAGGGTAGGTGCGTTGTACCGTGTACCACTCTATTTCCCGAAATTGGCCGCAATTCTTGCCCGTTAAGCTTGCCACGTCCTCGTCAAATCGCCACGGATGGAAACAAATGGATTTCGGACAAAATGATGGTAGAAGCCATCGTTGTACCGTCCGCAGGTCGGTTCGAAGCGCGAGGGAAAAAGCCTGCGCCCTTCCGACGGGTAATCGAATCCTTCCGGCGAAAACAGTAACAGAGGATTCGGGAAATGTAGGTCAACAGTTCGGTCTACTATCAAAATCGAGGGAAAAAGCGCTGCACGCGTAGGCGGCAGTTGGTTTAGGATAGTAACCAAACTGCGAGAGAAGAATTCGACGTCGAGCTGGACGTTTCGATCCGCTCGATTGATTAGGGTAGCTGTTTGATGCTCGAAATGGACCACCACCCTAGTTTCACAGATACAAAATGATTATCCTTGGACTGAATTCCTATCCCAAAAAAATGGCAAGGGTTGAAGGTGCTTTTGGTAAAGAAAAAAACGTCGTTCCCGACGATCGTCTTCGACTAGATTGCTTCCATTTCGCGTTGAACTGAACGTACCACCGACATTCCCCGTATCGATCGTTGTACAGTCATTATCTTCGTTAGATTAAATTTCCATTATTCCCGACTCCGCGTTCCATACGGACATAGTTGCTGAACTAATTCATTTCTCGGTGGATGATGACATTATAAATTGAAGAATGCATTTCCTATGTGAGTGTTAATTTAACGGTGTGACTGTAATGCGTTTATTATAATCGAGTCAAGCTGCGGATAGCGCCATTTATAATGGCCGCGAAATATTTTATTACCAAGAATGTCATTGTCAGTCGGAAAATAGGATTTTCAGTGAAATGTCTTTGCAGAGGGAGTTGTTAAACAATAATTCGATCACTTTCGTAGTCGGCAACGTTATTAACAATATTATATGAAAAGCAACTAAAAGTATTCTTTTGCTGCCTTCGTTGATTTACCGTTGAAACGTATGTAAAGAAAGGAAGCCTGAAGGTGTTAAAGAGTTAAGGAATGAAAATTCATAACATTCGATCGGGAAACGATGTAGTTTCGTTGGTCTTCGAGCTTTTTCCTGCCAGTTGAATTATTAAACACAGTTAGCTAGTTCCCCACGGCATTTCATTTTTCTTGCGTCGAATTATATTATTAAACACAATTGGGCAATTTCCGTGAAGTTCCGAGGTTCGAAATTCCATCGACGCTGCTCATTTTCCTGCCTCCGGCTGAACCGTGGAACCTGACGACACCCGCCAGCGTTTCACGAACTATTTATTTATTAATACAATTCTTCGGTGAACAACGTTCAGCCAAGGTGACGTTATATTATATATCGCCCTTCGGGCAACAGCTTGGCTACCCGGAACTTTTGATTTAAGATCCCGGGAAACTTTCGCTCAAGGTGCATGCCGGCACACCTCTGCAAAACCGTTGGACCTTCGTTCCTCGCGGCGGAAAACTATTTTACGATGCGCGTTTCCGTGAATCGTTAGCTTAATTAGCGCCGTTCGAATCACTCGAGAATATCGTTTAATTTTACGGTTGACGGGCTAGGAACGACTCGGAAACTGCACGAAAACTTTCATCGCCGACACACCATTCGCAGAGTGGCTCTTAAACTGCTAAATACTTGCTCCTTTTAATAAGTACAATTATATGTGTACATTCAAACAATAACACATGGTGATCATTCTCGATCGTAATTCGCATATTTTACAAATTCAGTTACCTTTGTCTTTATTCTAAACTACTTATCGATTAATTTGAATAAATTGCCATCATACAATTATTTGGACAATATCGTTCCTCGAATTTCTAATTTTATTCTAATACAAGAGCCTATCCTTGAAACATCCTATCCGTTATGTGACATCTTTAACATGATATGTCTACTAGGAATTACTGTGTTACCGATTACGCTAAGTTTCTTGTAGACCGCGTACGGTTCTAGATTTCCCGAGCAGCAAATTGATTTCCTTTTGTCAATAGTCCGCCAATGCCGTGTGCACGACCGAGGCGAGCCAAGGTTCTATATACTTTCTGCTCCTTTTACGTCATCGATGTCTATGCCACGGCGCAGAGGGTACGACCGGTTGAGCGACCGGCGACACGCAATTTCCGTTTCGTTCACGTAATATGACGGTTCTTTTTCAGAATCGTTAGCGGGCATTAATCACGACCGTCCACGGATGCTTTATGCATCTTAATGCCGGTCGCGCCGAGTTAATAAAGACCCGATGGTCACGGCGGAATGCAATTTCTCGACAAAACGGCGCGAGCACTGGTCGCACGCTCGCGCGCGCTTCTTCCGTGACCCGGTGAATGATCACCTGGCGAGGCCGCGCTCCGCGCTGCTTCTGAATGGAACGGAACAACCGGAAACGTAGCTGCCGCTCAGCTGCTGCTGCTCGCGTCTCGCCGGAGGCATTCGTCAACGCCGGAAATTTGCGAGAAATTTAACGTTCTTGTAAAGGAATTTACACGGAATCCAGTAAATTCGCTTGCATTTCCATCGTGTCTGGAATCTTTTATTGCCACGATAACTCTCGTGCATTGCAGAATCTTGTCGGAGGCATTGGCGCTGTTGGGTCGTTGAACACTCTAACATTCGCAGGATATTCCGAACGAATCATTTTTTATTTAATACGTAGAGATACGATTGAGTATAAAAATATAAAGTAGGTTGAATACGTAGAAGGTTTTAGAAACTAATCGTGATTATAACTAAACAGTTACAGCGAAAACTATACTTACTCGAAAACGAGTAACAACACGTGACTTACTGATTATCGATTTGCCTTCCGACTACGACAGCCGTTCTCTTGACCCTCTCCTCGATTTATTAATCCATGATGTTTACTTTTCAAGAATCCCCACTTTTCTTTAAGTGGCTTTGCGTGTCGTGCCTCTGAAACTACGTTAGAAACTACATTATATTTTACAAAATGCTAAACGTATTGAAACGATACTGATATCTGAATACTTGTATTATAGAAAATAGCTTTTAATCCTACATCGAGCTGTCTCGTATATATGTACATCTGCAATTAGAGGCATCTATTGCCAAGACTTCTCGGATAACAGTCTGAATACTAGGGTATTCGAGTAATAGAGGTTTGGATAGCAGAAACCCTGCAATATGCCAACTCGGTCCGAATACCAAATTCGGTCACTTTCTTGATTCTGCAGATCCTACGGAGCACATATTCCACTATTAACAAGGAAGGCGAATGGATGACTGATGGAAACGGGTGCGCGTCAATCTAGGCACAAATGATGATTACCTATCTGACATGTTCTGTGTCTCACAGAAAGCTGTGCCGTGCGGTTAATTATCTCACTTAGGTCAGATGTACACCGAGGATCGGATTTCGTGTCCATGGACACTTTGCATGTCCGTCATGGAAGAATGTTCGACAACGAAATCAGACGACTCTGATTAGCTTGAAACTAACCCTGCGACGTCTCGTTAATCGTTTATCGTTTCCCTTAGTGCCTGTCGTTCGAGTGGGACGACGCGACCGTAACTGTTTGAAACTTCATTCCTTAATTAGCAGATTGCGGAATTTATACAGATGTTATAACTATGACAATGTGAAGTTCAGCTGAAAGTAAAATTTCGTAGAATTCAATGAGGTCGTTTTGGTTCTAATAGTTAAGATTCTAATAAACGCTTAATGGAAGGACTAATCTTGTTGGTAGATTCGTACACTGTTAATATTACGAAAATAGAAAAGCTCTCTAAATCAGAAGAGCTTCCTAAGTTGTAGGCAATACGAAGGTTTTAATGCTTTACATACAAAAGTTACGAATATTCATTATTGTCTAATGAAACATTGATTACAGTACTGATTGCATTAAATGGATGTAACGCACGAATCAGTGGACAGAGTTATTGTAGTTTAATATCTTACGTCTAATTCGAGTGCATAAGAAGTGATGTTGCATATGGAATTTATATTGAATTACAATATCGAATGACAATTTTATTATGTCAGAGTAAATGGCGATTTTGAGTCGACACTCGACAGCAAGGAGTTAAGACTATATTTTGTAATATTAGTAGGTTCTACGGCTGCACTGTACAATGAGTTCCTTTTATTTCGTTTCAGGGATGAGAGTATGCCCCTCTGCATCGCAGCACATCGTCCAGACGCAGTAGAACACCCGCGGCGATCACGGGACCACGGGGACGACGGGCCAGTGTCGCTACCGACAGGCCTGTCGATTTACCGCAAACAAGTCCTCGAGGGACAATGGAGCGGCAAAGATCTCCCCGGGAGACCTTCATAACGGATATTGTTTTGAACAACGAAACGGAATTCGATCAGGTTAATTCCTATCACATTATCCTCGAATCACAACTATCATATCACATTTTGTTCGCTACTAATGCGCACTACCCAATCCAAATAATATTTTCAATTATTCAATTCACATATTTATCAACAAAATAATCCCTTTTAACATCTGCGTTGATCGCATGCCCTCTACTTTCCTTTTCAAATTCATACCAAATCATCTCACAACACATACCACACGTCTTATTACCAAATAATCTCCACCAACAAGCTTCCAAACGCACCAACATATCGTTCCAAGCAACACAACGGTACCGCAAAACCTCGCCTTTCGACCTTCCAACTCCAAACAAGACCCCTAATCCCACGGAAAAGAATTCCTTATACAATACAACTTGCGCCGGCGAAATCCTCCGTGCATGCATCCCAACCATCCGGCGCGGGGGAACGAGTTCCCGCGGCAAATCCCCGGGAACTTCTACCCGCGTGATTACCAAAACTTTTCCCCGGCAGAACGATTTCACCAACCGCCACGATCATTCACAGAGACGCGTCGTTCGACCTTTCAGACCGTGAACCAAAGGATGCCGGCGGAGAGGGACGGATCGAGATACGTCCTAAACATGAACAGAAGCTCGAGGAACTCGCTGGTTGCAGAGGATTATTACAGGAACCCGGGAAATGGCGGTCGTAGTCCGCGGAACAGCTTGGTGCCAGGAACTGGATTGACATCGGATATGGTGTACGGTTCGCGGCATTCGGTCCACGACGCCGGGCTAAGCCCTAGGAACTCGCTGGTGCCGGACGTGGCTTATAATCGCAGCCCCAGAAACAGCATGGCCGGCTCTCGGACGTCTTTGATGTCTGAGAACGGGAACCCGGTGCCTAGGAGCCCCAGGCATTCCATTGTGCCGAACTCGTCGCGCTGCCCTCGCGGCAGCATCACTCATATGGAACTAGTGGACCGCAGCCCGCAGAGAAGTCCTCGCGAGTCGATAGCGTCGGAATATCTGAACCAAGGTCCAAGGAACTCGTTGACGCCGTACGAACCAGTTGCCAGCAGAACACCGCGCGGAAGCATCAGCGTGAACGACGCGCCACGAGGAATGGTGGTGGTCAACGGAGACGAGGTGAGGCCCCCGCGACGTAACATCGATCCCGACATCATCGACAGAACACCGAGGGGCAGTCTGGGCGGCCTGCCTGAGAGACGACTCACCAAGGCAAACATTATGGCTCAGGATCCGCGGAGGGCTTCTGCTGATCAAGGTGAGCATTGCACGTTGCGAGAATGTTAATTTATTTTTGTCAACCTGATGCTGTTGTGTTGGGACTTGTGTATTATTGATACGAGATAATTTGATACGAGTTGAATAAAATGTTTTTAAACGAGAAATGTGTAGAGCAAAGCGTTTTGTATACAACTTTGGCTAGCTGTGGCTTCGAGAGGATTAATGATAAAAGAATGGATTATGAAGCGAAATAGAATGTTTTAGAATGTTCTTCGGGGGAAAGCGAGCAGTGACGTGTTTCGTGTAACAGAAATAAAAAGAAAATTCATGGTGCATGTAGAAAATCATAAATGAAGAATGATTTCGAGGCATTTAGTTTGCATGCGGAATGAGATCAATTTGAATCCCACATTCGAGCCGGGACGCATTTAGGAAATGACGAAATTCCGGGATATTTGGAACGGTTGAACGTCGTTAATGACGCAATTATGTTTTTACATATAACACAACCGCAGGGGTGCGCTCGTTCCCGGGACGGTAATGTCGCGTCGGGACCGGTGCGCGCAACACAAAAATTAAAAGCATTCGCGCGCGCGTTAACTCGTATTTCGATGAGCCGGCTTGACCGACGCGGAACCGCGTTTACCGGGATAATTAATTATATTAATTCTGAGGGCACCGTGTATCGTTCACGCGGGACGAAACGGAATTTAATCTGGTCTCGTATCGAAATCCTAATGGCAATCCGATGCTCGTTACCGGCATAACTTGACGCGACGTCTCAAGAGGGCCATGAACGTCGCCTGTTTCTTTCCGACGAACTGTAGGCATAGTAGCCCTGACAGTTTCGCTCGCGACTCGACTGAAGGGATTAAATGCTAATAATTCACCGTCCAACGGATCAGATATCAGATTTTCCTGAGTAACGTTGACTCGTTCGGCGTTGATTTTGTTCAACGGGTTTCGGAGCGTCTGACATTTGAGATAAGCTCACGTGATTATGTAATTGTAGAAAGGAATGACAAAAGAAAATGAGAATTCGACTTCTGTGATCGTTAATGTTGAAATGTTCAGTTTTAGGATATTGATATTTTCGTATTATAATGGATTAAGTTTAGCACCATTCTCAGTGATTGATTACTATTTTTATTATCAACACGAAATGAATCTTCTGGTGATCGTGTATTAAATGCTTTTCGAAAACATCGATGTGATCATTCTCTTCGTTTACTATTATCAACAGATTTTTTCCAAATTATACAATAAGTTAATAAAATCATGTAGAAGATATAAAATTTATATGAATAGAAGGGATACATTTTCTCAGTAAAGGAAGCTACTGTGCACTGTCCAAAGGGTTAATCGCTCAACAATCTACTGAACGCACTGATCATCAAAGCTATTATCGCCGAACATATCCCTGATAACGGTAGATCTGGGTTAGCATAACAAAGCCACTGTACCGAGCCAACTGAACCAATCTTGCGAATATATTCGTCACATGTCCGTCCACACCTTCCAATTCGTATCATTGTAGATGCGTGCTGTATGTCTGACACAATACGCTGGTAGAAACTGCTAGACCCAATTCTCATGTCAATGGTGCGACGTAGAATTCCTTTGACCGAATAACGCTGCATTGTAACTGTACTACGGATTGTACGCATCTAGAGCGAATTCGGATCACTACATTACATTGTAATATAAAATTTTTCCACACGAATCTTCGTTTTAGAGGAAATTCAATTTAAATACTCTTTGATCATTTGTATTCAGTTGTAATCACCGATCATTTCCATTAATTGAACAGAATTCGGTTGCCTTGTTTGCTCATTGCAATTACGCATGCACAGGAATGTTTAAACTCGATTACCTTCAAAAACAAAGCATTCTACCTATTAACAGTTTTCTTCCTTTTTTTCATACAGAATCTTCCCATTTTTTATTACGATGGAATCACTGTGCAGGACACGACGAAAATTGAAATAGTTTAAATTAGTCGACAATTACGTTTGACTAATTAAACTCTCTTTTACACGTGCGTCACAGTCGAGAGAGTTTACCGTGTATTTTGGTTCCATTCAATTACCATTCGCCGGGTAGTCGAATCGAACTGTATCAAACGTAATTTTAAACGGTATTTATACGAGAACACGCTATTTTCACGCACGATAGACGCATATCAATCGTTTAAAGGGAGATGACGCATAAAAGAACTCCCGACAATTATTTATTCTCGTTCTGCAAGCAGTATTTATAGAGTGACCCGATAAATGGGAGGATTACCCGGTTAATACGAGACGGAATTTTGTGACGCGACCGCGCAGCTCGAAGTCAATAAATTATAGGTGCGTCGGGAATTACGTGTATCTTGCACCTACTCCGTTTCTCAGGGAAACCGACGTCTCTCAAGCACATTGGATCTGGGACTCGTAAATCGTAAATGTAAATTTATCCGCGAGGGAGTATGTAATAGGACGCTGGAAAACGGGTTCACGAGAGAAATTAATAACTGGATTTTATCGTACGATATCAACGCATCCTTCAATTCGTTCTGGAAGAAAACGACTCGTCAACGAGAGAATCCTCTTTGGTTTTTCATCGTGCGCTCATTTTTTTGGAAGGAATTCTAGAAATTAATCAAAAAATCGATCTTCCAACGATGTCGTTCACTGTTTCTAAAATAATATTCTTCCGAACTAAAATCATTTCTTTTAATTTCACGGGAATAATAATAATTAGTTCTTTCAACATTTTTTAAGTTTGAATTGTAAAATGATACGGATAGTTGATCGAAATTAATCACAAAAATGGAATCAGAGAGTTCGATATCTCTGTAAAGAGAAAAATCTTTAATCTAAATCAAATCAAGATAATACGTGTTTATAAATAATAACACAAGTTTCATATGATTTTATCTTTGATAAATGCGTAGGTGTGAACGCCAATCGAAATTCGTCACCATACAGGGAGAAATCAGGCGGAAATATGGTCCAAATGAATTTGGGATATGGATTGAGTGGCTTCACGGACTCCCGACGAGCCAGCAGCTCCGTGTCACAGGTACAAAGCCTTTTATTTTCAAGTAAGATGTCCACGAAATTTGTAAAACGATGTAAATCCATGGTAAGGCTTCTATGTCGATTAAAGTTTTTAGTAGCGCTTAATAGTAGAATATTAACAGATTTAGTAAAAACATTTGTCAAAACAGTCGCACAGAGCGTTTGAAATGCTTATCACCCTCCCTTCAGTCTGTGATAGTGGTCTACTGCAAGCACCCTTATCCCGTAAGAAGTAACATTTACTTTGAACAAAGAAAAGAAAAACTGCGAACCTCTTATATTCGCTGAAGAATACTCCTCAGTCAAAGGGAAGGTGAGGCAATTTACCAAATGCGTTTCTCAGGATAAATTCAAGAGCGTTTCACCATAGCAAATACCCATCTCACAAAAATCACGACTTTCAGAAGGACGTTTCTTAAACATCCTATAAAAAAGTAAATTTCAAGAGAATCAAGTACTAGCATCTTGCGATGGGAAGACTTACTACGCGGGTCGTGATATTTTCGTGGCAAACTCGCCATCGACATTATTACACGCTTTGATAGTCCCATTGAATTAGATATTTCAGATTGTTCCGAAATCTATCAAGAATTCTCTGTCACTGTTATTATTAACGACTAAATATTTCGATTTCCTCACTGTCGAACAGGAAATAATCCCATTCGACTTTCCTACAATGTCTGCAAATACCCATATGCAATAATTTGTATTGCATAGGAATAATTTCCCCGCATGTTTCCGCTTGATATACAGTGTTTCTGTAATTGCTCGCGCGTTCGTGCGGAATAAAGCGGCGTTCCGGGTAAAACCGCGCGGCATCGTTGCACCATAAATTTTTTACGAGCTCGCAATTTCTTCAGTTCTCTTGGGGATCGGTCGCGTTTATTTCCGGCGTATCGCGGCCGGCTCGTTACGCCGTTCGTAAATTTCGCCGTGGGATAGGGGATGGAAGGATCGCGGAATTCGCGACAGGATGAGGGATTCGCACGCGTGTCCCGCCGCAAAATTGCCGCACGCATCGTTACTCACCCGCGACTCGAGACCAAGCAATACACGCGCCGATTCCGTGAACGAAAATTCAATAACTGGCTCGATGGAGAACTGTTTCGGCTCAGTCGTAAATTACTCTCCCTGTGGCACTTTGATTTCATTGATCAGTTTTCATCTTTTCTCGGTTCATTTTCAATACTAATTTCCTGTTCGCCAATACGATTACACGCAACCAATGGAAACTATAAAAGCAAGGCACATTGCAAGTGACCCTTCTTGTCTCTGTACCGTCGCGAGTGTCGGGTCTCGTGCAATGAACAGTGGATGAGGGATTGAAAAACGCATTTGAATCGAATTATTATGACGACGACAATGTTTAACTTGTTTGATCTCTTGCCTTGTGATTTCTTTAGCAACTGGAGTTATTAAAGTTGTTTTATTATTCACTTGTGGAGATAGTTTTATTTATATGTGTACGTTGATTTCCAGTTTTCAGGTGACGAATCGCGCCGATTATTCAACAACGGCGTCAAGGCGCCGGAGCACAAGTCGGAGAACGGCAATTTTAATGGAATCACGTACGGCTCCGTTGTCTTTCAACTGAAGGACGCGAACCTCGAAGCGAATGGCAGCTGCGACTTCGTCTTTCGCGCTTTGAAAGTTGTCTGCAAAACCCGAATCGTGACCGACTACTTGGTGTTGCTGTCTTTGCTGCCAGTTTTGATGCTGATACTCGGTGAGCGACGCTGTGACGCGACAATGATCATTAATCATGTTTTCGAATCAGCAACGACAGTTATAACATTCGAAATACATGCTGCTGTTTCAAATGAGATCAATAATCTTCAGATGATATGAGAAATCTCAGGAAAAGTAGTTGATGTCAATCGCAGCATTTGTCACTTTGAACATTAAAACTTTTATTTCGAACATTTTTATCATTGTTAAACATCTTTAATTACGAGACATGTGTCTGCAGTGTATATTATATTCCTATTTCTCATGATTCATCTTGTGTATAACCAACACATACAATTAGTCAGACAACCTTAGACAGTTGAACTTAAATATTTCAGTTCGTTTCCGAAGATACCCCAAATCGATATCTCATGTCGAACCAGTTCCAAATAATTAGCACGATGTCGTCAACTGTCGTCGTCGAGACATTATCATTCGCCTTGACATCCGTATTACTCTCGGAGGAGGGAACTAACATGACGTTAATAACATTTGAGCCTGGAGAGACTGGGCCCACGACGTAGAACTTTCTATCTAGAGCAACTTTCGTGGTTAACAAAATGAGCTCGTGATCGATGAAATTGAATATCATTGTGTTAAAAAGATCCAAGAAATACTTCGGTGGGTCTAAAAAACTTCATTAAAAATTATTTCACAGTAGAGTTCATCGACGAATCGATCAACGATCGTTCACGAAACGAAAGCAATAGATCGAAATAATGAATACTGAGCTATAATGTATTATTGATTATGCAATAAAACATGATCGACGAGACCTGACATTCAATCGAGATTCAATCAAGAGTTGAATGTATGTAAGATTAAAAATTAAATTTCAACAAAATTAAATGAATTGAAGAATCATTGCAAGTACCTAAAAGTTTTAATGAAATAGGTCCTCATTAAATCTCTCGTAGAATGAAAACTGACATACAATTATACAATCAATTATCTATATCACAGTTTCCATGTTATCATACTTCGCTATTAACGTCTGTATATTCATATTCATTAACGAATTCATTAACGAGTTCACATTGCAAAACACTCGTCGGATAATCAAATGCGTGTAAAAGGGAACTGCAAGCGACTCCAGCCTGTTTTTCTAGTGCCATTAGCTTCATAACGAGAAAAGACGTAATCTAAATGGATAAGCATATTCGGCTGGCAGCATGAATATCTGGAATTAACGCGAAAGATAAAATTCCACCGTACAAGCGAGCTCGTGACATGAATTCAGGAACAATCGTCGATTTCCACGTCAGAAACGGGTGAACGCAATTTCGCGGCATGCACGAAACGTTTTTCGCGATCGGGTCGCATTGCCGGATGCATATCCATGGCGGCGAATGAAACACGCGTGGATGCAATTTGCATATGCTCCCAACGTTAATGCGATCAAAGTGCCGCGGTGATGTTAAAGCTGCTTATTAACCCCAGTCGCATAAATTTCACCCGTAGGTCGGTCGCTGTTCGTCTGCGCGTCGCTCGCTCGTTTACCAACCCAGTTTAGGACAGTTTATCTCCGGCGAAACGTATCTCTGCTGTCCAAGCGACGTGTTCCCGCGGTTTCGCGACACCGACATTTCGAGTAGCGACGTTTCAAAATGGAGAGCATTGTAGGTCCGGCGAAATTTTCGCTGGGAACTTCCGAACATCCTTGTCTGGAAACATTAAATAAAGATTTTTCGCGATGGCATCCATTGAATTGATTGACTTGTGATTAATTGAACGTGGATCTCTGTGCAAATTGAAATTTTTAAGAACGTAATTAGGAAAGTAGAATTACGATGGAAAATGATTCTTCATTAGCAAATATTGCGGAAAACATTATACTTTGAATATATTATATACTTCTCTGCGTCGTGAAGATTCTCCAGAATTATTGATTTCCGAATTTCCCATAAATGCATAAGAATCCACGTCTAGTGGTTGATTTCATTCGATTTCACGATCCTTCCTATAAACCTTATCTGTCACCGTGGAACTATCTGAAAGAAGTGATACGTTCGGCTTCCGAAGCTTTAAATGATTGCTGTTCCAAGAAAAAAGAGAATTCGCTTTCAAATTTATGAGTCGACGAATTGCATTCTACCCGTGAAATGTTGCATACCAGAGCACTATATGATACGGGAAATAGTATACATCGCGAGCCGTTGTCGGGTTTCGATAATAAAAAAGAAACGGTTTTCGAGTACCTTTATTTATTATCTATATATCCGGCGTTGATGAATCGTTCTCCCTTAGTCTTTTTATGAAACAACCGTGTCTCGCTCACTGTCAGTGGTCGCTGTAAAAAATAACCACTCGTCGTATCCAGCGATCGGAAACGAATAAAATCGCGGGATCTAAATGAAAAGTTTCGAGCAACGAGTAAACGAGTGAACGATGAAAACACTTCGGCCGTTTTACATCGAGTAAAAATGAGAGCCCTATCGGCGAAGCGAATTAATATTTTACTCGGCGATTTGAATCTAATCGAATAATTCATGCCGCAATGTTTATGTACTCTGCTTCGATCGATGGAACAATGACTCCACTAGAATTCTGCTCGTCTTTGGTAAACAATTGCTGAACGAGCACGAAGTCGATCACGAGCTAACGATATTTTTTAACGCGCGTATACTGCAAATTACACAGACCTCGCGATCCCCATTAATTGAACCAATAACTACTCCAACTCGCCCCAATAAGAGGGATACGCGATGTATTTTACTAAAACCGATTGCAACAAATTAGCGTTGTTATTTTAGCTCGTCTGACGTGTGCAGTTCTCAATTGCGTATTTCATTGTGGGGCTAGCTCGATCTCCTTTTTTAATTACTCCTAAATTAACTGCGGATATCCTCCGAATTAGGTCGATCCATGTACCACCCATTTCCTGATATATACGTGCACGTCACTCCCACCAGTTAATCGCGAATCCGTGGATGAATAATTCAAACTGCGAAGGCTAGCCAAAATTTTGGCCCGAATTGGCCTGCGACGTTGATTCTGGTGAATGGTCTTGTGGCGGGTACCTAATCATTAAACCACTTGGTCCATGGAGTTAATTTAATATGATCGACATTATTAAATCCCTTTAGAATATCTTCAATGTAACTTCAATGTAACATTATATCTTCATGTAATTCGCCATTGTTGCAATCAGAAAATTACAAACTGCAGTCTATAAAACGACGAAAAGTGAAAATGGAAGGAAGAAACTATCCAGAACTTATTTACTTCGTTTTATTTCATTCGTGAATAATGAAAGTACAGAGAAGATAAATTATATTTTGTAGAATATTATATTCTGTAGAAAAATTTATGGATTATTTCCGTTGTTTCGCATGCATTTTCGATTCAGTTTATCCAACTCGCCTTACTTGCTTTCTGTCGCAACCGAGCTTACGTGAGCCACTTTATCATCGATAATTAATACACAAAGGTCCGCATTTATCTGGAAGGAAACGCTGTACTTCATTCCAACTTCAAAGGAATGAATAATATTCGCATTCATTAAATTTAGGTTGAAGTCTTGGCCGCGAGACTGGCTCAATATTACGAGGCAAGAGGTTAAATTCCGCTTTTCTTTTCATTATTCCCTTTCCGTGTAATAAATTCGTTGTTATCATTATTGCTCTCCATCGATTATCAATGTCAACGTTCGGCATGGTGGGAATAAAACGGTTATTGGTTTGTGGTACGGAAGCACCAGTCTGTTTGTAGTTCTATTTTTAGAGCAACATAGGAACGATATACGTACTTTGTTTCATTTGCCGGTGCAGATACAAACTGGTCGAGTTTCACAGGTTCAGAGTTCCAGTTCCAGTTAGTTTTTGACCTCATTCGATTTATCTCGGCTTTATCTCGCTCAATATACCCCGTAGTATTGCAGGCCGGCAACAAAAAAAATGAAGCACCATTGCATCATAGGCAAATAGTATTGAAATTTTACATTGTTTAAATATCACAACATTCAGTCCCCTACTTTCGTTTCCCGAAATTGTTCCTTTTCCCAGAAAATTCACCGAATTCAGATCCGTGCACGAAATGCAACGAATTTTCCTGCAAAAATGAAATTGCAAATAATTGTAGAAATTTCACTGTAACCTCGTGAAATTTTCGAACGAAACTCTTATCTTATCCATTATCCGAATAGAATTTCGCTCGACGCTGTACGAAACGCGGGCATCGTTTCCGAATTAATTGACGGGTTTAAGACACGCGAGCCGGCAGCCTGCGCTACTTACGACATGCAAGCCCGCTTAGTTTTTCCCCGTTTGGCGCAGCTTTGCGCCGCGAGGCATAGATTCTCGGGCCGAATCGACGGGACATGGAGTTGCGCGGCGCATTCACCTCTTCTTTGAGCTGCTGCCGCGCGTAGAACCTTCTCTAGATCGATACGGTTCGTAGAAAACCGGGAATCGCCGTCAGCGAACGTTCGCGCGAGTTTTTTTTAGAGAGAGTCGATCAGTCGATGCATCAAAATGTCTGAAAAGTCTGTTTGCATGTTTTAATGAAGTTTAAAAGAAAATTTTTTTCTTTTCAGAAAACGAACAATATCGTTTCACTTTTTCACGAAATTCTTCATATATCGTAGGACTACAAGATTATGAGGAAACAGTACTCATGTGCATCAGTAGAGAATTGAGTGATAAGAGATTTATTCGAAACATATGCGACGTGCACTTTATTCAGCTTTCTAATGTCTTTTAGTATGCTCGCTTGGAATTTGTATTCACGCATTGTAATATAAATGTCACATGGAAAAGTAAAACAAGACTTTTTAGCCAACCTAGTAACTGGAGCTCGACGCTTTTGATCGTCTCAACAAATTCGTATTCAACGATGATATATTCATTCGACTTTCACTGAGCAGGCAAAAGACAAATGATACATTCATACGTGGCCTGCATACAAGTGCTGTCATACAATTCCTGCGACTGCGTGTAGTAGACGTTCTAAGGGATGAACGAAAATATATTAAGCTTTATGGTCAGGACATGTTTTATACTTCTAAAAGCTCTCTCCATAAAAAGCTGAATTATGCATCAAAGTTTTGAATATTGAAAGAAAAAAAACCACATACCAGCCTCCCGTTATTCGAACAATTAAATTATTCATTTGCAGCTTTCGATTTTAGATATTCATGCTCGAGGTCACCAATGTAATAATTTTCGACCGTAAAAGCTTACTAAATATAAATGCCAATAAAATAAAAATAAGGAACAATGTCATTGTGGTAGGAGCTTGGTTTTCAAGTTATTCACGATTGAAATCCGCCAATACCGGCGCATGAATCGAGCCTCTGTCTCCGTCTCTCGCGCGTCACTGCGTCAACGTCCGCACTGGTACTGACCTACCTCAAGCGCTCCACTATTGTCGAATGTCACAGTTCGGAGATTTTTAATCTTTGATAACTCGAAAACAAAGTTTTTATCGCAAGTTTATCATTCTTCATTTTCATCCTGTTTTAGTTTTTAAAATCGACCTTTAAAATACCAACATTATTAAACTCACTACTAGCAAAAGAAATTCATTTCGTATTCTTTAAAAAAGTTTGAATCCTGAACTGATCATAATACAAAAGACATTTGTGCTGTGTAAAGTTTGGTGAAGTTATGTAAACTGTGTAAAGGCAGTTGACGAGCAATAAGCCTTTATCGTCAACCTAAAATAACAACGACTGAGAAAGTACTCTATAATTGACTTTGGAAATGCTATTTATAAAAATACCCTTGAATTTGCCATGCATCGTTATAAGTATTGAACTTTGTATACTAAGAACAACGAATGCTAACAAATTCGTGTTGTTATTCGCTAATGTATGAGTTCATATTTGTTGTGTAAGCGACTTTAGTCTTTAGTCATTGTGTGTCGGTGAGGCTAGAGGGGTGGGCTGACCACGGAAGGGCTCGCATGCCGCATCGCCTTTAGTTAAGTATCGAAATAGGACGTGACACAGAGAGTGGTAGTCAGGCAACCGTCATTAGCGTTACATTATTCAAGGGAGACCGCACTTAAACTTATCGATGTCAAACTGCTACGAAATACATAGTCCTTTGATTCGGTGATAACTAAGCCCCGGAGAAGAAAAAAACTGCATGTAATTAATCCGAAACACGATCCATTATCCCTATAGTTTTTGCGGGCAAAGGTTCGCGGTTGATCATCTAAGCTTAACTACGATGGGAACGGGAGTACTGGGGCTGGTAATCAATTACTAATGACAGCTAACAAGTTTCAATTCGAAACTTCGTCACGTTGCATAAAACAGCCACTCCTCTTTAATGACGCTCGCAATCAAATCCGACGTGCATATTGCATGTTAGGTACATGCTGTCGCGTTAAATTCCTCATTAGTATACGCCAGCAACAAAATCCGTCGACCAAACTTCCAAATTAATTTTCATCGTGATATCTTATCTGAATGAAGTTTCTTTTAAATATTACATTTCACAGCTTCTTCATTTTTCAAATGAGAGGCTGTCATTAAATAAACCATCACTATTGTAGTATCGTAGTTTTAAGGCAGTGGAACAGTGAGTATTCTGAAAGACAGAAAGAGGACCATAAAAGAGAAAGGGACTGATGAAGCGATGCCTAAGCGAGGATGATGAGTGCGTAATGATGAGAATAGGGCGTGGTTGAGAGTTTGTTGGAAATGCGATAAAGAAGAATGCTTGTGGGGGAGAGAATGATCTTTAAGTGCGAATGACGAGAGAGTTTGGGACAGAGTCGCGTTGGCTTTAGAAGAGAGAAGACCTATACATTATTCTATTAACCATTCTTACGTTTTTTAAAAATAAAACATAATTATTTCTACTAATACCACACTATTTTTATTAACATCGTCACTGAATTTCTGTTCAATTTCTACTCTTTCATCACAAAATTCATATTACACGTATGCATTTCGTTCCAGTTCTTCCTGATCTCTATACTTGCTAGCTTCTGTTCATTCCCTGCGAGTAAATATCACGAATAAATAACTAAATATTGCCCAATTCTTGATAAAAACTAATAGAGATGCAACAGACGAAAAGAAATCCTCGTAAATAATGCGAACGAAACCTCGTTTCTGTTCCAGGCTGGAAGTATTCTAGAAATTGTCCCGTAGAAGAACGGATTCCGATCTACATGATTATAGGCGGGATTTTCGGGAGCATGTTTATGTTCCTTATAACATACTCGCAGATACGGTCAAGGAGGCCTGAGATACTGTCAGTGCAGCCGGCAGGATCTCAGATATCATTTGTAAAACTTATCATCTTCTTGCTGTCATGCTTCCTGGTGGTATGGTTTGCAATGGGTGAGTAAAGGCGGAAATTCGAGGCGCGATACGGATAAGTACGACGGTCTTTTATATCCCTCCGATCCGGGCTTATCTCGCGCGCGAGGACTCCCTTCTCACGGGAAACAGATCGATCACGAGTCCACTGGCTCCGAGAGGGTGCTTCGTTCAGCTCTCCACATGTTTTAATGCTTTTATCGCGGCTCACGTGCAGCGAGGACTCGATGCAACGTCGACCCGCAAGCACCCGCGGCGACCAAGATGGCGTTCAAACCGATTCACGTCTCGAATAAAGTCCCGGGAGCTCGATCCATGGCCTCGTCCCCTGAGAAAAGGAAATATCGAGACGCGCGCACGAACGATCGATAACTGGGTTGATGTACACAAAGCTGTCGATTATACATTACCCTCCATCCGTTTGTATTTGCAAGTCGAACCGTAAATCGGAAATGTTTTTTTTAATTTCCTAGATGAAACGAGACGAGCTTCGATTCATCCCGTTTCAAGGGGAAGATATATTCCTTCTGCTGAAAGACGTGCACTCAAATCATGTTCTAAAGTCAAAGTCGAACCTCCCGGTTATTACAAAATTAGTTTGAAAAGGAATTTTATATAAAAATTCAACAGTCTGAAAGTAAGAGATCGTAATTAGAAATATGTGCATCGTTCGAACACTTCTCCCATGCTTGCTATTCTTTCTCTTGCTTGCTATAAGTAGAAACGACGTTAAGTGGTCAGACGCGTCGCGTATTCGGTTGAAATTCAACCTTCCAAATGGAATATTTTATTCTGCACTTTTTACTTACCTGCTCGTGTAGAACCATCGTTTCGCCAGAACCCTGAATTCGTCGAATTTCGAACAGTCGGGCCACTCTGAACGTATAAATAATGATTACGATGGTACTGGGTTAATGGACGCTCGTTCGCTCATTTGAATATCCTGATTCAAAACGGCAGTTTCATATGCACAGACCCGATACATGCGACCCAATATGCGGCACTCTTCTGCATTCAATTCGTACGTATGGGACCGATCGATCGTTCCATGAACGATTAATTGGCCGACATGAGTAGTAAGTTGTTTCAATGCATCCTAATTCTTGTTCGTGATCGCGGCTAGTTACAAGCCACTCGGCCGCGCGCATTCACGGGAGTAATTGCGTCGGGTATCGAGCTAACGAGCCGCTAATTTCTAGTTTTGCGGTCATGGTGATCTTATTTTGTGTGCCTCGTATTTAAAACGCAACTACTACGGTCAATTGCCGTGATTTTTTCAGCGTTACCGTAGTTTCTGGTTGAACGAAGACCCAGTCGTTTTTTCAGCGATCTAGTTATGCGGTTCATTACCTACCGTGGTCGGGCTATTGTTCGCGAACCAGAGACAGCATTCCGAATAAAAAATCGAAGCGCTCTTCGAGAAATCCTCCAACGATGTGTACTTCAATAGTAACGAATTTCATTCAAGTAGACATTCTTCTTCCCACGAGAAGGGAATTTAATTAAGAAGAGATGGCCGACGTAAATATGCATATATGAACTCGAAAAGTTTGATATTGCTCAACACTTAAAGAAATGCAATTTTCAGAAAAACGGTTTTAAAGTTTCCAATTTAGCTAAACGGCCTCGTTTTTTCTCGAATGGTTATAGCTTCGTTAAGCCCTCGAGTTTTTGCAGAATCCTTTAAGAGCGTATTTTCAAGACATCGAGCATTAAGTGTAAGAAACAGTCCGACAGAGTAAAATGCTTTCACGATTAAACGACAATATATTCTATGTGTAAACTGTATGTAACGATAACGATATAGCATTCGCTTGCTCGAATTTCTTTTCTCTGATTCTGCAGGCCATTCATAAATGGAAGTTTCTGCTAGAATTTGTGTCTCGAATCGTTACATACACTTTTAAGGGCACTTTAAATAGAAGTGCTTCTTCCGATTGACAAACGACACAGCCTCGAACCGAATATCTCGCGGTATCTCTTTAATATGTCTTCCTCGATCGTTTGTGGCAGGAAACTATTGGATACTCCATATAATGTGGCCTCCGCACAGGGCAGGACGTTACAAACCGAATGAGTACTGCGACAAGACGTTGTATGTTTTCTCTATGGTACATCTCGGAGTAATCTATCTGACTTTCGCGATCATAATATTTACAATGGTGATCCTGGCCTCATTCAGAATCCTCGGCTGGTGGTTGCCGGAAAGGTAAGCTATTTCTCTATGTCACTGCTAAAGTCTCGACTAACTGTTCACGAAAAAATTTCTATCGATTTTCATTAAGTATATTTCGACATTTGTTAACGTTCCACAATATATCTAGTCGACAATGGATCTACTCGACAATAGATCTGTTCGACAATAGATCTGTTCGACAATAAGTCAGCAGTTTGTACGCGAAATAAATGCGATACCCACGCATGACAGTTTCTACGACGAAATAATATCCGCTTTAATCCCATATCAATGGAAGCCACTTGCAGACTCAACGGAGTCAATCGTGTTCTCAACGAAAATTTAATTAAACTCTCCTTGTATGTTTCATCCTGGAAGAGAGATTTTCCACCACCACCGTGAACAAGGGAAAACGATGCATGTCTTTACTTTCGCGATGGTCCTAATTAAAAGTTATACTCGAGTAGGTCAACAGTCGCGAAACAATCACAGATGAATCGCCAATTATTCGTCAAACCAGTCGCATCTGAATCTCGTTCAAAAAATCAGTCGCGTTCCCACTCGTCGCGACAAACTTTTTGTTCAGCAGCAAATTTCGAGTAATCATACAAGGCACTCATTAGCCAAATGGATCGCATCCAGTTACAGAATTTTTAACAGTTTTGTCGTCAAGTACTGGATCGACTCTTAACATTTTATATTTATATTAATACCACGAAATAAAAATACTCTGTAAAAAATGGAATAATAATACAGATTACTTCAAAATTGTACTATCTTATGTATTTCACATGTTCATTGGATTAAGGCTACACCTGTGATAATATATAACATACATCCTACAATGTACGTATACATCAACTTACCATTAAACTTTGAAAATCAACATGCACTGCTACATCACTATTTTCCATTTTCGTTCTGCCGAGTTAACCGATTCGAATGAGTGGCTTATATGATGAACTTCTCTTCCGAATGGTCGTATAAATCCATTCCACCCCGCACAACTTAGGAATTCGCTTCACCGAGTGAAATAATCGCGCGAGATTCGTTACCCGGGCAAGTACTAATTTGATCACGTTACCCGTTCACAATCACGATCGAATCTGAGATTTACGAGCTTAGGAAAGTTCAGGGCGAAGCCACGTCGTTACTCGTGACGCGGATGAATTCCGCGATTCGGACCTGTAAATCACTGCCGTCGAATCGACGTATGATCACGTTGATTACCCGCGTTTCACCGGCCGACGAGTCGCGATCCGAACACGTCCGGGACGTACTTATTCACCTATGTATGTAAGCGTAGCTCGGAATCACCGGGATCTCGGAACTACGGAATTCGGCCGACGCGATTCGTGGTTAACGATGCGATAAACCGCGACGTCCCACGTTCGCCTCCGTGAGTTCGTGCGTGCACGGCATCGGCTTGACAGGTTAATTTCGGTTGTTGCGATTCGAATGTCATCAACACAGGGATAAAACAGTTGGCGCCATTGAGATAATGAAATATGGCCGAACGGAATTTCCGATGGAAATGTTTGATCGTGTTTAACCAATTCCAACAAGCAACTATTTAGGTCGAATACTTATCAAACAAACAGATCATTAACTAAAGCAACAAAGACAAAATATAAGGAACGTAGGTGCAATAGCCATTTAAAATGAAATTAGCCAAATACCTTCACTATAAATGTTTCTACTTTGCATCCTACGAGTTTTTAATCTTTCTCATTTCCTACGAGTCCGTTTCGTTTTTTAATTCTTTGCGTTGGAAAGTACATACTTTCAAAATTCTATGTGAAAAATAATCGGTGGTCGATTTTCAACAGAGAAGCCCCATCCGTCTGTTAACATAAATTACATAACAAGAGGCTAGATTCAGTCTATAAAGCTCTGATCCGCGGAGCAAAGCGTCAAAGCGCCGTTACTCAAGAAGTAGTTCGTACGCTGCACGAGCAAACTTCTACATAGAAACGTTCGGGGTCGTGAAAATTCTTCATATGCCAGTTACTCTCTACAAGCCACGCCGAACCGACCTATAATCGAGACGTCAACGAACTCCTTTTCCCTAGACCGAGCTTGACTCTCGAAACGTCTGTCAAGCCCAGAACACTCAGCCACCCTCGGGAGCGGTGCGGGACGGGTTGAATTTCGCGAGGGTAATGGGTCACCGGGCGCTGCCGCGAACATTCCGCACACACCGTCTACTACGAACACTGTGACGCGTGAAAAGCAATTAGCCGGCGGATCGTGCGCGCACACCAGCTTTCGTAAGTCATCGAGAACTTGTCATCAGTGCGCTTGGAATAAGAAGGAATTAATCTCGTGAAATTAAAGTGACACGGAAACTTAATAAGCTCATTACGTTACGAAAGGGAATATACAGATTACTATGTGCTGTAGACAAATTGAACCCTTTTGCGATAGCAAAATTCCTTGAAATTTTCAACGTTTAAAACAAGCTTCTTTTATATCGGGACCTACATAGGAGTAAAAGAATCTAAAGTCCACCGGATGAATCCAAATAATTGCAAATATAAATTTAGCCAATAGAAATGTATATATATAAATTCAAAATAATTGCAAATATAAATTCAGCCAATAAAAATGTATCAACAGTTATTCCAAATTTATCCGTTGTCATACATTCAGTTTCCTTCAACATTCAATACGTTAACGCACTGTCCTCGAATAATCGATGGATGAAAATACCACGTATAAATAGTATGGAAGTGGTCATCGCGTGCATTCGCCAGCGGGAGCATATTGGAATCATCGAACACGCTGCAGTAAGATTGTTTCATAAACATTCGTATTCCCGTAACAGTTTGCACTCCCATTCCATATAGACACGTGACTCGGGAGCAGCGGTGTGGTCGGTCGGAGTTCGTACGTGCACGTATTTACGTGTAAAATAGTAGGTCAACGAATTTGGTCGCGTGCCGCCGCGGAACAATCATAAATACGGTGCGCCGCGTATCGCTGCGCCGATGAACGAAACGCGTTCACCCGTGTCCGGGTCTCGCGTGCCACCGTGTGGGAGGGAACCGTCAGGTTTTTCCGTTCCTCTCGTTTCCTCCTATCTCCCGGCGAACCGGGTCGCGTGATCGCCTCGGGACCGGCAGAAAGAATCACGGGACACGCACGCCAAGCGTCCGCGAACCGGCCCGTTTCCAGCATCGACCGGTTTCCGTTCGCGCCGATTGTTATCGGGCCGCGTGCAACGGCGGGTCACATTTCATCTGAACATTCGTGATCACGAGGGAAAGCCGACCACCAGGTGAAAGGGCAACCTTTTATTTCATCTCCACCCGGGAAACGTCTGCCCTTGACGCTTAACGACCCGACATCAGCTACGTTCGGGTGTCCACGTTGAATGATGGACACAACATTCACGCGAGAGCAACGTGAAACGATTCCTCTAGATTTCTGATACACCTCAAAAACAATGTAGAAAGCTGGGATCATTTTTATTGTTCATGGTTTATGGAAGAAAATGAGAGAGTAATAAAGTTTGATATTAGTCGTCGGCTGCGATGACTTTATTAGCGTTCTTATGTAAGGTATTTGTTGCTTTTTATGGCTATCAGTGTAGCAGAGATGTTCCATTGTTTTTCTCACGTTCGCCAGCAGGGATACACGGTGTTCATGGGATAGTATTTACCACGACCGTCCATATAAATCCGACGATTCACAATTCACTCGTTCTACACGAATGTTCGAGATCAATCATGGCTTTATAGAGTTCTTCTGTGAACACAGGTAACCACGAAGACTCATCCAAGAAACAACAGTGATATCCGGTGACGAATTAATGCAAACAAGGGAAAGCAGTTGCAATGAAGGACACAGTCGTAAGACGGTCACATACGAGGACATACTGATGACCAGTTGGATTCCGCATCATGATAATGTGATCACGGGCACCGAAAATCCGATGAGAAAGAGACTTCGCGGATGAGGATCCAGAAATTTAAGGGGTAACGTACATCTAGGCAGATAAGAAAACCTATTTTCCGACAAAAAAAATGTAATTACCGACGCATTGTTTCCAAAATCGGCACTAAAGATCTGTGGAAGACGAACGGGTCGACTAAAATTTCGTGTAATCGTTTTCAAAGCGTTCATTTAACACCCATCTACTTTATTCCCAGCAATCCTACACTTAACAATCGTCTCTGATGAAACTCGTATTTTTACGTATCATACAACTGCCATTTTTCAAAAACATTCCAAACGCAACCATATATTCTTCATTCCTTCTTTTTCGATCCTAGATTGCGTAACCTCTTAAGAAAACTATAAAAACTAACTCACATCCGCGGCGAGAATACTAGACAGCTGGCTGATTAAAACTGAAGAAATCTAAATTCACGTCGACACGAAGTCGGACAAAAGTCGCACGGCACGTACGAATTTTGTCTGACATATCGCGTTTCTTACAGTCCAAATACTTTTAAACAAGAACGTTGCTCGAGCTAAATAACGCAAGAGCTCTAGAAAAAGAACAACTTCTAGGTGGCGTTATTCCCCATTGACCTTGATTTCCATAGATGTCTTACATAGCTCTGCAGTCCGATCACTCGATTCATTTGAAAGACCGAGTTATTTTCGATCAGTGTGAAACCTTGATGTTTGTTGTGCATGTCCCTCTTAAAGATCGAGGTGACAGAACGCGCGCCTCGTTGTTATCGGTGTCAAATCAAGACGATGTTCTGCGTTTATGTCTGATGTCAAGTCGTTTATTGTCCGTGGAGATTGTAACTATGATAATCAATCTGATCCAATTTTCAAGCTTAATTCTGGATGTGTTTGTCTGTAAACTATTTTAAGAGCAAGGCAAGCGTATCGTTCTTCGTTCCGGATAGGACGAGGGGAAGGTGGAATCATGTCGCGCGGGAGGATACACAAAATGGCAGTTCTCGATTATTCGCTCGGTTTAGGTGAACGCGCGCTATTACGGCGCAACGGATCGTCAGCGGCCACACTGGCCAGGGGAGGGAATGACCTTTGTCAATTAAATCAGTTTGTCACAAACTGTATTTCGCGGCAACTTTAACTGAAACATATATTCTATATGTAAATATATAAATACGTGTACACTTGTATGTTAAATTAATCGTTAACGGGGGTGAATCGACCAATGAGAGAACGGAATCGGCAGGCATTTTCTGGGAGCACACGAAGCACGGAACGCGTTCAGGGAACTGGAAGTCTCTCACTTGCCGCAGGTCATCGGGTTGAGTTTACGTTCGCGTGGAAAGTTCGTCGGGCTGCGCAACTTGGCCGCAGTAGAACCACTCCGCTTTATTAAATTTCTTCGATATAAATAATTCCGATTTTCTTTTGGATCGATACCGCCGTTTCTTTTCGCGAACTGTTACTCGAAGTTCTGGCACTTTCATTGAAATTCGATGTATACATTTCATAGGATAGCTAAGGGAAGAGAACATAACGAAGATACATTGGTTTTCTGAATATCGCATCGCGTGTCACGGTTTTAATCCTAGTACGGCAAAGTCACTTTCGACTAGGAATTGAAGTACTTTCTGCAATCACTTTATCTTTGATGTGTAGATATGGTAACATCGATTTTTAAATGTTTGTGTAGACTTTAAACGACCGCGCCTTTAAAATTGAATTTGTCTTTTACTCTCTGATAATATTTCTTGGAAATAACTCGTAGATTACACATATAGACTACCTTGTTATATCATCAATTCATCTATATATTGAAAAAGCTACGGAAGATACAGATACGTTAGTAACAATTTCCTTGCAGTGTTCTCGAATACGAATTCGTCTTTGATTGAATAACTCTCGTAGTATCAAATGTATGAAACCGTGAAGAACGTTACAAGATTATCATTAACTTAATGCATATGAAATTGCCACTTCTCATTGTACAAATATTTCTTCCGTTTTTTTTTACGAACCAACTTTAACAATCATTATTGTCGTATCTTTGTTTCAAACGCTGAAACTGGATCTGCACAATCGGCAATTTCATATGTACCGATCCGTTCATAATTGTATAACATTGTCGGTTAGCTTCTCCGGCCAATTGCGCGTCCGACGTCCACGATTGCGCGGTGATTCGAACACGGGTCCATATTATATCGTCCATTCCAGTAGGTGTAACCAGTCCGTATCGTGTGTCCATTTTATCAATGTAAAATGTGTGTGAACCGTCTTCGTCTGGACGAACTTGTCCGCGGCGATTGCGTTCGTTTAGTGTTAGTCAAAAGAGATCGGCAGGATCTCGAGCCCCAACTGTTTCCTCCCCAAGATGGAACACGCTTCAATCGCGAGACATCGACGTCAACATCGAATCGGCTCGGTCTCGCGACGAGGAACGTGAATTTTTCTTGTATAATCGAAGTTCGTGTGCGAAACTGTTGTGAAGCCGAGCGGCTGGTCAGCGATGTCCGGTGCACCGTGATAAAACGTATCCACGAGAATAAACTCGTGAAACATCAGTCACGTGTGCGAACCGCTTACGAAACGAAGTACAAATATAATGACAGTAAATCAAGGGGGTAACGAGACACAAGAGGATAAAGTCGAACGTTTCGTGACAACCGTTTCGCGTGATAGATAAGTCGTAGGTGTGTTAGTAAGTACAGTGGTCCTTGCTTAATATTGGTTCAAAGAACGATAATGAATTGTCTGTAGCACTTGAAAACATATTAAGAGACACGTGGTTAAAGGAAAATGCTCAAAATCGTGAAAAAATAATAAGAGGTTCGTGCCCATTATCATTTAATCAATATCTACGCAATTTAATCGATATTCTCTTCTAGAATATTCCAAAAATGATTGGTCGCAATTGATATTTTACACAATAAATTATAGAAATTTTTGGGAATCACCAGTTATCGTTTCCCTCGTTTGTATCGCTGAAATAAGAAACAGCGAAGATAAATAAAACAGAGGGAAGGATCCGGAACAAATAAACCAATTACCAGAGGAAACTACGCGTCTGTTAAGCGAGGACTGTTGTACGCTACGGACAAAGGAGAGTAACAACCAGAGATTTGTTCGCGACGAATACTTACAAACACGATAAAAGGGACCTGACTGCGGAGATTGCCATTTTCATTGGGGAACTTTGTAGGACTTTTCGCGGTGACTTTTCAGGTGTGTCTCGTGTAATCTTTGAGAGCGACTTCCTAGGGTAAGGGTGGGCAACGTATGATTTCGCACGTGATGTTCGGTGGTTCAGGATTCGAAGAAGAACACGTTCGAACTTCTCCCGGGTTCAAAATCGCGAAATCGTTATGGGAAAACGGCGATCGGTGTATGGATACGGTCCGAAAGCGAATCTCCCGTAGAAAGGACATCGGGTACACTGTCTGTCCACAGCAGGATCACCGCATATTTCGTCACCGAACGCTCAAACTGCAATCACGGGAATCAACCTACTCGATATACGTGGGTTGTTCAATGTGTACAGCAAAGTCTGGATTGGTGAATGTGCGAATTTCGATTTCCATCGATGAATCTCGAATGGTTAATGTGCCGTTCGAGGGGTTGATCTGTTCGTGTCACTAGCGGGCGAAGCAACGGGACACTGTCTCACTGGTCTAGACTTGAGTACTGCGCGAATGCACCGAGAAAATTTGTATTCATTATCGACGATCCTATATTTTTCTACGTTTTCCAACATTTTCATGGCGCACACTTTATATCGAGAGAATTTACGTAAAACTTTCAAGATTTCTACTGCTGCCTGACAACTGTCTATGAATATTATTCAGACAGCAATTCGGGTTTTTGTGGATTAACTCTTTGCACTCCTAAGGCGACTCTCGTCATTTGTCTGGAAAAGATTATCGTCTACATATCAAACTTTGTATAATGCATCGATACGTGGAGTTCTGAAATGAAATAAGTTTGTTCCTTAACTATATGCTTTCTCATTAGTAAGTTTCCGAGAATATCGTTTACATGTCATTAGAAAACGTTGGATATTTCTAGTGGAAAACTTCCGAGCGCAAAGGGTTAACTGGCGAAAAGAGAACGAATCTATCAAATACGTGACGTACGTTGAATTAGAATGATATTAACATGACTTTATTACGTGTTTTTTATATGAGTAAAATGAGTGTAGAAATTCAGCAGAGAATTAAGTAGGAAGTTACTCGGGAGCCTAATGTTTTGAACTAATCGCGATTAGAGAAATACAATGTCGTCGAGATGGATCGAAATTTAACAAAGGAATTCCCAGCGTTTATTGAACGGCCCACGTAGAAAACTTGTTTCTTCGTTTCATTGATTTCGTTGCGCCATTACCGCCGCGGCGGGACGCGCACCATCCAGCACGAACACAACCATCGAACCTTTCGCAGCAGAAAATCGCGTTGAACGATCAACGAAACTGATGATTCCAGTAGCGGCGAAGCTACATTTCATTAGATGCATGCACTTACTTACGTTTAGTAGCGTTCGGGCTATTCCTGAACCAATTAGCTATTTGTGTTATCATTATCGCCGTTCATGGCCGTGCGTGAGCGCGTGCGCGAGGGTGTGCATGGGCGCGTGAATGATACACGTGTGCATCGCAGCATCTGCTGAATTTCGGATCGGAGCCGGCGATCCAGTTCGGCCATTTCCCGGAAAATACTAACGGAAACGTTGTTTCCTCTAAATCCGTGGAAACGTTGTTTCCTCTAAAATTAATCGCTCATCAGTTTCTAGATTGTCATTCAATCGGGCATTTCGGTTGAATGCACCGTTCCTTTTATACCCTCCATCCGTTTGTAGTTTATTTTCTGTCGATCGAGAGATAATTGGGGAAAATACACGAAAATGGAAAACGTCAGAAATGTTCTGCGAAAGAAAATTAAGCCTTCGAAGGTATTTTCAAAAGGACCATCGGAATTCTACGAATTTCATTAGATTTTTCCACTTTCATTTTCTTCTTATAACTTCCATTTTTTCCCCATTTTCCATTTATTTCAATCACAATTCTTTGAACCAGAAAATAATTGGTATCTAATTTTGCGATGGGAGCACAGATTCGGATAAATGGGGAGACAATTTAATCGGGTTTTGTAGCCTGGCGTTCGACTAGTCGCATGGAATCGACAGTCGAGTGAACCTACGAAATTCCGATATCCTATCGGAATGACAATATTCGGGGAAAAATATTTTTGCGCGTGGAACAGATCACGGCCTCGAAATTTTTGGTCGGGGCAAGACGCGAAACACGGAAAATTGAATTAAGCGACGTTTCCACGAGTCCCAGTGGCCGATGAACCGGATGTTAGCGTATACACACATACAAAAATATCTCCCGATAGTCGAGAAAGGGAAATCGTGTCTTGTGGTCGGATAACGGCGTCGAATCTCGTCGTTTCCTTTCAACGGATCGCGGTCATCCCTCGGTTAGTCGTAAGAATTAACAATTCTGTTGATATATCGAATGTTAACGTCTCGTTGGATTTATATAGAATAGAGAGCTTATTTATTTTTATACTATGAATCGTTTGATAGCGTTCGATCTACTTAATTGAATAACACGCGACGACGGGTAGTGGCTGCTCATTATTGGCCCGCGGAACTTCTTCATTTACTTTGCGATCGCTGGATCGTGGAGGTTTCTGCGCACACACGATCATACGGTCTAATTTGTATAAATTTGGATCTGAACCTTTTACAATAGAATACGAACTCACTGCATTAACAAATTATACTACTTGAATGTAATATTTGGAAATTAATTTTTATACTTTTATTGTATAAAAGTTTCATTGACATCTGGAACTTAATTTTTGTACATTTATCTCATGAAAGTTTTATTAACCCTTTGCACTCCGAACCATTCTGGACGTTGGCTACCAGCTACTCAGCGCGCCTTTGCGGCAGAAACGTGCATTTACGGACCCGCATATTATTTAGTGTTGTTTCGGAACCAAGTAACGTATTATAATGATATTGGACTTATATGAATCGGTTGACATCAAGGAATGTATATTTGCAAAAAAATCAATATTTTATTATTTATAATTTTGTACAGTGTGATAAACCGTTCTTCCGTATCACTTTCATCGCTATCGCTATCTTTGAAAATCTTTTCCTCCAGTTTTAAATTTGTTTATTTATATTTATAAATATAAATATTCTACAAACTCTCCTTATCGCCCTTTTCAAGTGGCGCCGAGAAGTGCTCGGACCGTCGTGAACACGCTTCTCACGTTCTCTTCTGACACAAAACCTGCTGACATTTTTTTTATATATCTCAGTAATTTTACTATATTTTGATTTGATTTCTTGTGCCATTTCAAGAGAAAACTTCAGGGACACGTGCATGTCTCAAAAAGTTGCGCTGAAATAACTTAATTCCCCGTAATCACTAATAAACTTTAATGTCCCTTGAGAGGGAACATCCGAGTGGTATGCTAGAATTACGATGTCCCCTGAGAGGGGACAGCGGAATGCAAAGGGTTAATATTTGGAAATTATTTTTATAATTTTATATAAACTCAAGTCAATTAGAACGGCGAGGTAAAAGAAAAACAATCGTTTTAAACGTTGATCTTTCACTTTCGATTTCGTCAAACAAATTATTCCCATTTTATAGAATTTTCATGAGTGTTGAAATTCAATTTTATTTAGCTTTCTACGAAACCGACGACAGGTCTTAAGCAGTCGTGTGTATTGTGAATGCACAAAATCCACCGTCTAGCGACTAAAAGGTGCGGTACTTACTCTAACGATCAGTTATTGAGTTTACCGGTGATTAACTGACTGTTCTATGGCTAATTAAATTCGCGTACCTGTACATATGCATCATAGTAAATCTATAACTCATATACACGTGTGCGTGTGTGTAAATGACCGTACGTTCGAATGTCTGTACACGTATGCATGTCCCATACGTAATATTATAAAGTATCATATAATTAAGACATTTCCGAGATGCGTGAAGTGCGTTTAGAGATATCGCGTCGTAATTAGTAGATGATAGGATTATTTTCACGCACTACGTCACAAATTGTGGTACAGGCTTTAATGTAGCATTCACCCTCCTAACACGATCGAGCGTTTCCCTGTTTCGCCACCGAAAATAGCCATGGGAGTCAGACAAACGAAAATCAATTTCTTCCGCAATATCTGCGTATTCATCGGAATTTCTATTCGAATTTCTATTCGATTTTCACTTGAATAAACCAGATACAGTAAATCAGCTTTCGAGCAAGATCCTTTAGTCATTACTTTTCTTATCTACATTTTGCAATAATTGGCTCATAACAATTTATATTTGCAAAATTTATTTTAAATCCTATTACTTTATTACTTATATAGCGTCTATATTAATTGATTCACATCAATTTATATTCATAGAAACGATCATAGTGCAAACGCGTAACAATTCGGTTGATTGTTTCTGAAAAATGTCAAGGAAAGCCTTAACCGCTCGATTAAATGATTCAGCGTTTCATAAAAGCGGTCATCATGTTACTTGGCATAATTCTATACCTGACATTCCACTGACACCGCGTACAACCCTCGACGATTAGACAGTGGTGGCTCCCAACGCTGTTCACAGCGACGATAAAACCCATTGCATACATTGATTACATTTTTCTACACGCGGTTTGCACCGTTCCGCCGCGAACTAGCACGAATCGCGTCGTTCCGGTGTATACCTCGCGATCGACCGCGCTCAGAACGTGAATGACTGACACACTGTGCGCGAAATCGGCGTCGACAAAAAAAAGGGTACCTCTTGGGACACGGCGGCCTCCGTTCACGGAACACTGCGCGTACTTTTGTGTGATATCGTTCGAAGGCGACCGCTAACACTTCATCGACCGTGAACACCAATCGGCGATCTAGAACATCTTGTTTCCTTCGTAGCTGCATAGTAACAAGTCATTTCAATTCGTTTACGGAATTACAGAACAGAACAGAACTACAGAAACACTTCTTGGCATCTGCTAAGCATTTCTAAAGGAAATCTTAAACACTAAAGCTTCGACAAACCGTGAACGTTTTGCTTACCCAGAAGGATTTACCCTTTATCTTCCAAAGCTATTTATTAGAGTACTATATATAAAGATCCTCGATCTAACGATAATAATTTGGAAATATATAGAATCATAATTCTGAATATTTCACATGGAATTGAACGGAATGAAGGATCATGAATTTTTAGTAATTCGGAATCAAGTACCTCTTAATTAACTCATGAAACGTAGACTTCTAGGGGACATAGGATAACTCGTTATTTTAACAAATGAATAGCGATTAGGTAGGTTTCGCTGTTCAGTTACTCGCAATGATAGGAGTGCCGGTCGTTGAAACGTTAATTCCTACGATTGCCGCGAGCGCGAAAACGAAAAAAACGTTTGTAAACGTAGGAAACGTGTCCACGATTCCTAGACAACGGTGGGCGCCTATTAATTTTCCTCTGTCAATGTAGGACAACGAGGAAACGGTTTGCCCTCTTCTTTTCAGTTCACTGTGCAGTTTTTCGAATAAAAAAACAGAAAACAATACTCAACTACGCGCGACGCGAATGGCATCGATTGACGCGGGGGATCATATGGGATAATACGAATTCGGGACTCGATTTCAATACGCGATTGACTCGAGTGCGCTATCGATGGATTGCTCGGAAGAGGCGGCGGGTATTATGGCACAGATCTTCTATAAATTTGGAACGTTATCCCCTTACGGTGAATGCAATTGCATCGTGCAATGCCGTACCTTACCGTAATTTTCGTTTCTATCGAATGTAGAATCTAATGATATGTTATCATGGCTGAATATAATCTCTAAATTTAAAAGTGGCAGCAAGTTTCACGAAACAAAGGACACTTAAATTTGAATACTTACTTTCATGATACTATAATACAATACTTTCTGATTTCCGTCGCATCTACAATTTGAAAATATTATCTGATGCTGGCGTCTATTACGACTGCGGGATTTGATTAATTCGAAACATGAAAATTATCGAGAAATGAACGGAATGCAAGCTTCCATCGAACTATGTAAAAAAACTTTTACTTTATCGTGAATTTATTGAATTTAATCACAGTGGATGTTGAATTATACTCAATAAACGACGGTTTCTTGAAATTTTTCGGTGAAAACGTGAACTCGTATGAACTTCAGCGTTTATTTTGTTACACCGAAAGTGACAAGTGAAGCTGCATATTTTCCGACACATTTAATCATTAAACTAGAAGAAGAAAATAGAAATTATAGAATCTAACAAGTAGCTGTAGGTGATAGACAAAAGTATGGGTTTCTAAGCGATCACGATTTTATATATCCAATAACTGGGTCGTTCGCCTAACATGTCTAGGTACTAGCTTAAATCCCTCAGCTAAAATCGATCACCGGTTACATTAATCTATCTAAAATTAAACATGGAAAATGCTTTTAAGTAATCTCTCGTAATAGCGTTTTCGATATTGAATAAACGTCCCAAGAAACGGCAAAATCCAAAGAAAACGTTTTATACGGGGTGCTGCTTCCAAACTTTCTGTTGTTACGGTTTATCGACGCGTTAATCAGATAACTTTTCGAGCATGAGCTTCGACTCGGCATTGCTCGTGAGACCATTCAAGTGGAATCAAGTCACACGTGTATACATTCAGTTTCTCGTTAATATCGCCGTTCGATATGTTCCCGTTTATTAGCGAAATTTCCTGATCCACTCAATTCGTAGAAGAAACTGACGTCCCCTAATACGATTTCTCGTCTCTTGGGATTAACTCGTTCCAAAAGACGCACGGTGGTCTGGACCGAAGAGTTCAGTGACATTTCGCTACAAAATTTAACTTCCCGATTCGACGTCTACCGAATTGATTAATATAATTGATACAATTTAGCAAATAGTTCTTTCCGAAGATAACATGTTTCGCTAAAAAACAAACATTTTTCCCTTCGGAATACACTGATTGTTTTTAAATGTTTGCAATGGAAACTTCATGCCAATTTGTTTTATGGTTGAAAGTTTATACGGAAGTATTATTAAATCCATTGATCTACACCACTGCGCAATGAGGTAATGTGATTAAATAAGTCCTATCAGACGGAAAACATAGAATCGCGGGCTGCATCGCGTTGTAGCTATCAACCTAGCGGCAGTGTTGGGCAATTTTTATTTCGATTAACGGTTTCATCCAATGAAAACCTCGTTGATTGCTTGTATTTGAAAACTATCTACCGGAAGCAGACTTTCTGCCAAAGCATTCTACCTTTGCAAATCAGCGTAACTTCCTGTCGTCTATTCGACGATATTCGTTCACAAAGAAATAATAATGTCCAACGGTGAGTTTCCATTTCTCCGAGCTGCCCGAGACGACCCATACACGCGACGAATCGAGCCAAATACTAATCTCGACGTCACCCGCGTCGGTGAAGACAGATAAAATCTTGTATTAAAAGTACACTGAGTTTATAAACGGTACTATGACGTGTAAAATCATAATACCCGACGAAACAAATTTATTTTTAATTCAAACACTTCGTGAACAAAGGATCAATCCAGCGAAACAACAAGTATACTTAAAATTAAAGCAAAAATGTTCTCATTATCCTTCAAACAACACAATATTCCCTCCGTAACTTCACGAAGCGGTAAAGGTTCGGCGAGACGCTAGAGAGTAGTAGAAACTATTTCATCTTCGTCGTTAGTGGCCGACATTGGTCGATATTCCTCTTTCTCGAAGTATCAAGTTACAAATGTGACGCTAACGGGTTCAATGCAGCGCGATGTTACGGTGGGAACACTGTAATACTTTAAAAACCGATTCCAGCGAATAAGATACTTCATTTTAAAGGTTATACATGAATATTAACATGAAATAAGCTATTTACCATTTGAAATAACATTTTACCCAGCACTGGTCTATGACGACATTTCCGAGGGTCCAATCATAGCTTACGATTCACTATTGGCGCATCGATCGCATCACCGGCCGCACATTCTTCTTCTCGCGTTCGGAACACAACACACCGCTTCCCCGTGACGTACAGCTCAGAACATGATCGCGCATCTTCGAAATCATCGCATCGCATCGGTCCCGCACGGACTGAATTTGGCTGCTCTTGCACCGGATGCGTATTCGTTCGAACTGACATTCTGAAGAATGAACATGTGAAAATGGCAGTGTACATACTCTCAGGCATTTGTATGCATGTTTGAACGCTTTGACGCATTGACACGTTTGCTATATAACAACGTCACGTATTTATAAAGTCCAACATTCTGCATTTTCCTTGAGGAAATGTAAAATACATTCGTTCATATTTTTATTCAAAATTGTAATTTATTTCGAGAAATGATTAATTTCAAGTTCTTTTATATACATATATATATATTTATATTTTCACAAAGACGATGCGTTTCATTTCATGGAATATTGCAACTGTGAGAATTGCTACTGAAATAAATGTTAGTAGTAAACATATTAAGTTCGTTAGAACGACGATTCACCTGAATAAGCATCCAGCGTAACCGCAGCTTTAATCAACGAGCGTCGGCCGCGCGTCATCCTCGCTCGAGACACGCGAGATTTCGTAACGTTGCAACGACTGGTAAAACGTCCAGGACATTCACACCGCGAATTATTTTTCTAGAAGCCACAAAGCGTTGTCCTCATAGCACGTAGGAACTTCTCCGCGCGTGATCAAACCTTTGAGCCCGACACGCGTCGCAGGACACTGTACAAACGTTAAAATAACATTTAAGGGAACTACTAACGCATGTGCGCGGCTAAAAGGAAATTTATACGTGTAGCAACTATATTGTAATCCTGCAGGCGATAAAGTTTTAATAATAAACGAAAGAACGTGTTACGTAATTTAATAAAGACTCGGTGCCGTGTCGGGCGAGAAGGCGTCACCGTAAAATAGCTGATTAGAAATTGTACTTTGGAATCTCGCGTTCGGAGTGACGATAAGCTCGGTCGTTATACAAGGTGTACCCATAGTAAATATTTCGAGATCGGTTGATTCGATGAACCGAAGTAGGACGAAGATAACAAATGACTACATTATATTAATTTCTTTTCAAATTATTCAAAATTTCTTCAAATTCCGTTCACCAATATACCGCGTATGATGTAAATTCACGCGTCAAGTGTACCGAGTAATAGACAGATAACAACTCGACTATCACACTGCTGGGACTCTTGTTTTAATCTTATTCGATCTGAATCTAAAACAATATTCTACCTTGTCTCAAATTCATTTTCGTCTTATCTCGATTCGCAGAATCACTCCTTGAAACACTTACTACAAATCGAACACTATGCACGATCGAACAGTCGCGCCGTTGCACACGCCGACTACCGACTTATGGTGGGTTCGACGTGCATCATCGAACCAGAGAAAATACGTGTTTTATTTTCTATAAACCCCGTGAAGCATCGACGAGTGCGAATTCGTTCCGATGCAGGACGAACCCCGACCCCAGATGGGGAAGTCGTGTCACGTGATAGCCGGCGTATGCGGTGAAAGCGCGAGAATTCTCGGGAAATACGCTCGCAACTTTTCCAGCCACCTACACCGAACTTTGACGGTAAATGTGTATCGATCGCAGTTTCCGCGCGTGCTGCGTCGCGACGGCAGCGAAAAGAACGCGACTGGCCGAACGTGAGGAAATTTTCTCGAAACGGCTCTCTCGCGTGTTCCGGAAGTTCCGCCGAAGCCACGTGACACGTGCAAGGGATGCGCGCAATATCCTCTCGCGTCCCATCGGGAATTGACGGACCGGTCGCGACCCATTGTTCCGTTCTACCATTACATACGTGACACAGGATCGTGCACCCCTTGACCACCGATTACGTCAGTCCCGATCGAGTTCGACCCCGCGAACTCCCGGCTTTCGTGCCAGGAACGAGGCCGGTTTTTCTTCCTTTTTCTCTCGGTTTCTCATAAAAACAGCACCACGCTGCAAACTTTCTAGCGGTTTATTTTGATGACATTATTAAGAACGTCGCGTGATGAAAAGGGGAGCACCTGGGAACCTGATTGATTCCACGGGGTTGATAAGGGGAACTCCTACCAGATAATTGACACTGGATGTTAGCCCGTTTCTGTGACCGAGATCTACGGCGAATTTTCTTCAGCGTTCATTCTTCGTGGAACAACGTTGTGACATAATTCGAGAGATTTCTTATTTTGTTTTATCTACTGTTAGCAGTTTACTCTTTGGTTATTTTTCGACACCTTTTTTACTAGGAAATATTTATAGTATTTGGTTTATTAGATTGTTTAGTCTTCTAGAAGAAAATTCAGGTCACCATAGAAATTTCACTATTTTAAAGTACGAACATTTTCGATGTAATGAACAAGTATATACTGCTTGCAAATTTTATTCTCCATTAATTCTGTTTTTTATATTTCGAAATATCTTACACTTTGATAAATTTGGATTTCAATTGCGTGTGGTAATGCAGCTTTACCGGCATATATTGTAATTATCAATGTCAATGTCACGGTATCAACCGAACAAGTTTACCTAGTTGGAACGGAAGTCGAGCATTGGTCACAACCGGTGACTGTTTCAAAGTAGTCGGAAGTGCCGCGATTGCTCGTCGTTTGGAATAAATTCACCGGTGAATCCCAGCGTATTATCTGCACGTAACAGGCAGCGGGGCTCGGCAAGTCGCCAGGTACAACGGCAACAGCGGGAGTTTATCGCGCGACATGTTTTGTTCAATTCAATTGCCTTCGAACTATTCTGTATACCTCACTAACGGGACCTATATAGCGCCGCCGTCTATTCTGGCTGCTAATCAAAGGGGAACGCGATAGGATCCTTTGGGCGCATTCCATTCATAATGTCTCTCAATTAATCGTGTAGTTACCAGAGCTGATCGAGTGTCCTAGAAGCGGCAACATTAATGGATCAAATATGATTTCATTTGTACGGCCAATTTAGTTCCTGTTCACCTCAGAAGTAGTACACTATCGTCTAAAAGCTTCGAACTGCTGCTTCACGTTTTACTGTTCTTACCAGTTCACAGTGAAAAATTGTTAGTTAATTATTGGTATCTTTAAACATTGGTAATTTTAGTAACGTGTTTCTCAAATTTCAAGTTTTGATAAATAATTCAATAGTTCGAAATAATGGTAGAATAATTGAAATTTCGGTAACGACGTGTACAATAATTATAAAACGATACGTCATTTCAGCGCGATCGTTGAATCGAGCAACAACGCGATTCATTGAGAAGCATCACACGCGAGACGCGACATTCGTATGCACACGGCCATCCATTAAATGTGAACAGAAGCGAGAAAAGGAGACGAGGAGAAGCGGGAGAGAATCGAGAAGAATGTCGGGGCATGTTTTGTATCTCGTACGGGCACCGACGAAAAAGATACGTGGAACTAATCGAGCAGCGCCGATGCACGCATCGTTAAGAGACCCATAGAGGATCAATCGTGCTTGTCGACTGTGCTTGACAATCCATAATTGTCTGTTGTCTGTGCGTTCCGAATACAGATGGAACAATGCTTGAAGCTTCAGTATGTGTCCTATAAAGGCACTAGATGTCTCGGAGTAATTCTCGCATTGAGTACAGTCAATAGACTCTAATAATTAACTTCTTTAACATACTCGAACAAACCACTACCTTATACGATCACTTTCTACTCTTCTTATTAACACCGTTTACATTTCGATTTGACGAATTTTAAATTTCATAAATATTATTTCTCCGTAACTTATGGAATATGCCGATAATTGATAAAATCATATGATTGCGTACACTGATTCATCGTTCTCGTTTAATCAGTTAAAAATCATTCTTAAATTTAAACTGAAACTAAAATTTTAACTTTAATTTGATATTTAATTTTTAAATTTAAATATATATTTCAAATTTGAATTTTATTTCACAGGTTAATACAGATCGTTAATCTAAAAGGTTGATTAAGTTAAAATAAAAGCGTTCCATTAAGCATGTTGCAGCATGAATGATGACATCCTCGTCAATTGTTCCAACGTTTACGTTTTCTGTACGTTTACAAGTGACCAACAGATTTCCGTATCGAGAGAGTCATTTCTTCAAATACTTTTGAACGTTGACGAGCTCGTCGGATCGTTTACGGGTCGTTTCCCGTGCGAGCGCCTGGCGTCCACACAATTGTAGAATTAAACGAGCGATTTATAGCGCGAGAGATTTATGAATTGTGCGCATTACGGTTGAGTGCGAGAGTCGGATGAGAAACGATTGTAAGCAGGCATGGTGGACTCATATTGTAATCCATTTGTAATGTAACCACCGAGTACTGGAAATAAAAAGTGTCTACATGGTGTACGTCGAGCGTGCGACTTTTTCATCCCCAAAACCTCAACCAGCTTTCGCAGAGGAGAAACCCGCCCTTTGCCAAATCGTCGTCCATTTCCCGGTTTCCGCTCTTCGACCCCGCCGCGGTCAACCCGTTGCACGAGCAATTCCGAGTATTTAATGAGCAGACTGTTATTACTCAAAGACTCGAAAGTTGAAAAGTCCCGCGGAGGCAGGAACACCTCATCAAGATGCGCGCATTTTTTTAACGGGGTTAAATTTACATTGTAACGGTTATCGTGCACGAGTAATCTGAGAAAACGTTGCTTGTTTTTACCTAGCCATTTAAAAACAGCAATAAATTACTTTGAAATTCCAATGCCGTCGGATTAAGCCGATTTACACGGAAATGAGTGCTTGTAATAAATGTAAACGGTAGAGAATGTTAGTTGGTTTAATTAAGAACGCCGCCTCGTGTAACGGGTCGGAACAGTGGAATTTATTTCTTGCATATTTGAATATTTTAACAAGTTTTAAAGTTGCCCCTTTAAGTTTTTGAATAATTAAGATATATAAATCCTTTCCGTACAATGATTTTTTGTACATCTCGATATAATTTCGTTTTCCATATAAATGGTACTTGAGTCTAACATGGTACTGTTTAATCAAATGAAACATTTTTATTGGAATCTTTGAATACGAAGACTATTTCTGGTGCTCGTCGCTTATTTGGACAACGTCTTGTACACCACTGAAGCACTGGGAGACCGTCAAAGGTAGGTATTTTTTTCTGTTTTCCTTTTTTCTGGAAAATTCTCTACTTTGAAGCTCGAAATTGAATGAAACACAGAAATAGAAGCATGGAACGGTGTGTAAATGATACGGTTTTTAATTGCGACTGGGAATACGGTGCAGCTGGGAACGTTCGCTTTGGCGGGCACACGGTCTCGTCGAATTCGCATTGAATTTTCGAGGAGCGTCGTATCCTCCTAATGAACCGAGCCACCATTAAACGGAAAAGCTGATTTGTCGGATTTGCCGCCGTAGATTTGAACGAGCAATCAGACGCACTGGTCAAAAGACTAAAATTTGGACAAGTAATTTGCCCACTACTATCACTTCAACGCTGACACTTCAACAATCACGAACGTTTCAACTGTCCATGCAAAGGATAAAAGAAAAAGTATTCCTAACCGTACAGTCATCTATAAAAAATGTTACAAAGGTACTATCAAAAATTGCACGATATTTCAGGAAGAACAGTGCTTTCCTGCCTATTCAATTTTATAATCAATAAATATCTTTAGAACCGGTGCGATAACCTTATTCCACCCACTTACATGAAATTACAACGATAGATATATTGTGTAATAACGCAGAGTCTCAAATAAAAATAAATCTCTTCCTATTTCCTCGGCTTATGCAAACGAGATAACGGGTGCAGCACAAATCACGCGATCCACATTCAAATTTTATAAGTCTCCCCGAGTCCATCCCCGAAAGATAGAGAGTCCGCCGAAACGGAGAAAGTACCTGATTTCCGTCGAACCGTGGATCAGGTTATTCGAGGGGCTGTTACGTAGTTGTCCTGGCAAATACGGAATTCAATCTAAATGTAAATACGCGCTGGGACATATTGCCGGAAGCACTCACGCGGAAAAAAACCTAGAAAACGGAAGGAAGCGAGCCGAGATGAAGGAAAAGTTCGTTGGGCCCTTCGTCTCGCGCGTTTTCGTGAACTTTCTGCGATACTGTTGAAAAATATTCAACGAACCGGCGATAGAAACATAGCCATCGAGGGAAACACTGAATTGTTGCCGCGAAAATATGATAAACGGAAGAAAATAGCGGATTCGTATAGAAATGGTCATTCAAAGTAAACGAAAATATCTCATCGTATTACAGCAGTCCAATAATGAATGAAAATATGAAAATATGAATTGATCGCTCAAAGGGCTCTTCATATGATAGACGTGCATTCAGCAATATTTTCAGATCAATTACCAACTAATTATTCATCTTTTTATTTCCCGAAAATGATAATTTAATAAGTGAAATAATCATCTTAATCGTTCCAAGGAGCAAAGAAATTGGACTAAGAATTCTTTTACAAATTTGATTTATTATAATTTACTATAACACCAGTAAACGTATTTACTCGTGCTTCTAAATTGATGAGAATTAGTTCTACGTGTATCTTGATATTTTAAAGCTCATGGTGAGCTCAATGTCGGTTCACGTTTCAGTTCACGGTCAGTTCAAGGTGACACCATTAGACGTACGTATCTAACTGCACAGTAACATCAACTACAGTATCTAGAAAAAACATACGGTAGAAAGAAATAAACAGATACTCAGTTGTGCAATGTGCTTCATAAACAGTCGAATATTTTGTTGTTGCACAGCCTCACTAAACAATTCGACAGAGTGCCGTGCGCCGCAAGCAAAATAATTCCACGTGGGCGTCGAACAGGCTTCGATGCTTCCGTGAAACTTCCTCCCCGACGACTTGCGAATTCTTTCAAACCCATCGTAAGACGCTTAAATTCCTTTCGCGGTATTTTACCGAGTCGAGTAAGCGGATTACCAACTCGGATGCCAATAGTTGACGGAAAATACGCGCAAAAGCGGGTTGCGAGCTACGCATCGTTATCACGGTTAAAAACCTGTCGCTTATCGCTGCACTCGTAAAACTTTCAACGTGAAAGTTCAAACGTGTAACACCCTTTGGGACAACGAGAAAAATGAATTTCCTGTCAAACTGATTTTTTGTTAAGTCCATTTTATGGCTTTTCATTCCTGTATCAATGGACACCTTGAAAATAGAAAACGAGAACTAAAAGTGGAAGCAGAAAAATTTCGACGTGCTACGTTTACGAGATTAACGTAGTTCACATTGATTTTCGATTTTTAATGCTAATTTTTATATCAGTTTAACTCTTGAAGCTTTCATTCGTGGACCTTTTTAAACACCTCTGCGTGCGCATATTTTCCTAAATCGCTGGTTCATCCCCTATTTGCCAGATAAATTTTATTCCATCGTTCTAAAACTATCGCGGAATTGTAGGTCCATTATTCGAAGAAAAACTACCCCGATGGAGCCAAGCGTGGCTTCGGATCTCAAGGTCAGCGCATTCTCGCGAAACGTATTCCTCCCTCGTCGCGCGTTTCACCTACCCGTTTCTTCTCCGGTCTATCCGGGAACATTCTCCTATTACTTCTATGTAATTTGAATTTTTATTCCTTCCGCTTGTAGCGAAAACCCCTGAAACTACCACTGTTTCCCAACTTCTTTTCTCCAGGGAGCAGCGCCGAATCGCCATCGCGTCCAGGCATTGACCGCCGACGGACTTCTGGAATCGGAAACTTCTCTTCGAAGACAATCCTGTTTGATAGAAATCTGTATATTGATTACTTCGTGGAAGTTTCAACGGTATTTGAAATTGAATCTGGTCTGTGACACATAGAGTGCCGTTTATGTAACGAAACGTGGAAAATCAAATTTTTACTTCTGTTCTGATGGACTGTGAAAGTATGTTTTAAAACAATAATCATGAGAATTGGAAGGAAGGTTTATAGATAAATACACGAGCTTCAACCATGTTAGGGTTTGAATTAGAAAATTTCAATTCACATTTAATTTTCAATTTCAATGGAACCGCTCTTCTTTGCCTTTCCCATTTTCTTGAAAATGCATTCTTGCAAATTGGAAGTGACATTCCTGCGACCAACTTCAATCAAGCTTATCTAAAATATCTCTGAGAGAACTCCGCCGTGAGCTTAATTGGAGACTTTTATATCTAGTAAAAGATCTTGGAAAAATTAGCTGTCCCCGCTTGACTCATAGATTCTAGTAATTGCAATTAAAATTCTTGAAATTTAACACTATTTCCTGTAGCATAGAAACCTACAAATCTTATTTATTTCTTTACACAGTACCAATATACGACATGTTTATGCATATTTTAAAAATAATTACGATCAGAAAGTAAAAAATCACTTGTCGATCTTCCGCTGTTATCGAAAAGTTTCGAAATTGATCGAAACAAGTAGATAAGCCGTTGTTAACAGTCCCCATCGTTTATCCATATATTTCGCTACTGTTTCGCGTTGCTCTGGGGAACACGAATTTTTATCTGTCGCGAGCGATACGGAACGAGTGGCAAAGGAAGTTTACGACGGCAGCTAGTTCGCTCCGTGTGAGACTCGTATTTCCCTTTCGAGTAACTCGAGTGGCCGCCGCGCTTTGGGGTTGACATTTGACGAGGCCGACGATTTCATTGGAGCCGCTGGCAATTCTACTCTCGTCCTGTGACACATGACCTGACGGGGGAAATAAAGAAGAAAAAAAAATAGAGAAAGGGATAAAAAGAAAAACGGAGCTCGGGCACAAAGGAGAAACGGCCGGCCGGATGCCTGAAAAGAGGCGGCGCTAATTGTCGTCGATCGAGGTGAGCCACGCGTGCCTGTGCGCGGCGACCGTTTAATCGGTACGTCTGTACGTTATTGCGGCCGATCAATTAAAATTGCGGGGATCAGCTCGAATCGATGCCAAGTAATTTCGATGCGTAATTGCCGGCCGTCCTGCGGCCCGGCCGTTACGGAAATCACCGGACAAGATAGGACATCGTTGTGCCAATCCTCAGAGACGCGAGTGTTCCAGCCACTTAACCGTGCGACGCGTAATCCTCAGTTTTTTTCTGAAAACAAGCTTTCTTCGAATATTATTATTACGTTTTATAGATATCATTATATCAATTATAAAACTGTAAAACGATAAATTAAATGAAACATCTATCAATGTATGCAGACATCCATATACATATATGAGTTGCTCAGAAGCCAATGCGGTTAAGTCCAGAAAACAAGAATTGAAAAAATTAATGTAACGGCTTCTGAAATGATTATACAGATTCCAATAATTTTTAAACGTATTTAGAAGCTATAAAAAGA